TCTCTCTCATCTCTCTCATCTCTCTCATCTCTCTCATCTCTTTCTCATCTCTCTCATCTCTCTCTCCTCTCTCTCTCTCTCCTCTCTGTCTCTCGTCTTTCCGTCTCTCTTCTCTCTCTTCTCTCGCAGGAGGATCCGGGCAAGAGCCACATATAAAGGACTCTTCACCCCTGCCTCCAAAAAGAGCGCCGTGTTTTTTCCTACCTCGCTGCCCTCCACTTTCCCATTCTGGAGCGCTAGCTTTCGCCCCCCCCTTGGCCTCAAGTTTTTCAATCCTCCAAGCCTTTCCTGTTCTTGGCTTTTGCTTCTCTATTTTGGTGAGGCAAAAATGGCAAAACAAAAGGTGTAAAATAACAAAGGTCTTCGGTTTTTATCCTTCGGAAGTGATCGGGTACAGCCGGATCACCCCTGCAGTGCGGCACCACGGCACCAGGAGCGTTTGGCCAACGCGAAGCCCACGGTGAATGCGCCCAAAAGCATCTCCCAAGTCTCACAGATGAAGGCTCGGCCTCCTCTCTGGTGTTTCTTTGTCGCTTCGTGCTTTTCAAGTGACTTGGAACATCCTGAGATTTTGTTTTTGGCCATTGTCAGGGTGTTTTTCAATGCAATGTGGACAGTGTCCCTTTTCCAGCGTTTTCGCTCACAAAGCTGGGGTTTTAGTAGGGGTTTCGGAAAAGTCCAACATTTTAGTCATGAGTCATGTCTTGGACGTCACGAGCGTTGCAATGAAGTGCCGCCTTTCGCCAGCTTCCTGACTTGATTGCCGAAAATGCATCCAGCAAAACGCTTCATGGCAGAAATGAGGAAGGGTTGCCACAACGAAGGTTGAAACGGTAGTATGCCGCAGTTGTATTGCTTCTACTGAGGCTTTTGGTGGTCGTTTGCTTGGCAGTGCCGCCCCTATTCTCTTGACATATCAAAATAGATGCTAACTCCAACTCCTGGCCAAGGCATATGCCAAAGAACAAAGCAACTATGTCCCACCCATAGTTTCCTTTTCTTTTGCCGTTTTCTTGTTTGGCGTTGACAGCTCCCCCTTTTCACTTTACACAAGGCCAGGCTACTGGCCGAGAAAGCACATGCTGCATTGTGGCAGAAGTGAGCCCAGCGTTCTTTTGCCGTTGAGTTTTTGTACTCTTCTTTTCCCTTACTTGATAGTTTTTTGATTTTTTTTTTTCCGCATTGGTTTCCTTCTATCCGGAGTAAGCCTTGATTTCAACCAGCGCCAGGTTTTGCTCCAAGCCGGGAAGTGGGCCTCTGCCGGTGAAGCTGGTCGCTGTGGAGCTGTCCGAAGCTGGCGGATTCACCGATCAGTGCGACGGGAGATTGAGTTTCACAAAGCCATCGCTATTAGGTTGGAGGCCATTGCTATTAGGAACAAGAAGCTACTAGTAACAAGGGCATCGTTACTAGTTACAAGGGCATTACTACTAGTAACAAGAAGCTACTAGGTTGGAAGCCATTGCAAAAGAACTTGTTCAAAGGACCTTTTAAAAGGCCGCTCTGCCCGCTACCTAGAAGCGATGGCCTCCAACCTAGAAGGACCCTTTCAAAGCGTCCTTTCCTTTCGATTTTGTTGAAGTGAAGTGCAGACACTATAAAGGTGTGTACGGAGGCTGCCAAATCCCTAGAAAAAACCTGGGTGGCCAAGGCCTAAAACAACGTGTGAATTGCAACAGTCCAAGAAATTCCAAGTGCTAAAAAGCTTCAGAAGCATCAACAAGGACCGATAAGCGTTGAACACGAGTGCAAGTCACATGGTAAGTGCGCATCTGCAGAGAAGAACGAAAACAAAGCCCTGCCGCTTGTTCTAGTCAAACAGGGTCCCCCTGGGTAATATTCAGCCATCATATATAAGCAAGTACAAGATCAGACGACCACCGACATGCCATAGCTTCGTTGGACCCGGTAGGCAAATCGGCCCCAGTCCCCAGTTTCCAGAAACACACGCCCCCGGTGAAAGACATGAAAAAGCATGCAATGTAGGCGGAGGCAATGAAGAGGAAACCGATGAGCCAGGAACAACCTTACAACAAAACCTGGTGTGCTTAACATCCTAGTTTTGCTGTGGATGACGGATGTGCGTGAAATGACAGGACGTGAAGACCGGAAGGACGTGAAAAAAAACAGGAAGGTTTGCGAAGGGCAATGAAGGGGAAACCAGATGAAGGAGAATGAAGGAGAACAAACCAGAGAGAACCAAACCTCATTGAGGGGATACCAACCTAATAGCAAAGGGAAGGGGATACGGGATACCTGGGCCACCTTGCCTAGTTAAGTATGCGCAATGTGCACGTCAACGGCAAGTCGCGTCGAGGTACGGAGTCAAGGAAGTGCCTTACTGCATGATGTTCCTGGGCGGTCAGCAAGTCTATGCGAAGAGGTCCGTGGCATCGCCGTCGCCGAAACGCCGAACGACCGTCAGAGACCGTCAGAAAGCACCCACCGGAGAACCGGCCGGTTTCCGGCTTCTTACTGCAAGCAATTCGTAGAGCTCTTGTGAAGAGTAAGTGGTTGAGGTTGCCATTCGCCCAGAGTCCGGGGCTCCTTGGCTCATGTGGCCGACCCGTTTTCTGGCCGACAGGATCCATGGCCTCCGCATGGCTCCTCGTGATGCTGCTGCGGCCAAGCCAAAGGCACCAAGTCATGGCGGACACGGTTTTGTCACCCACGAGCCTAAACCCCACAAGGCCTAGAATCATTATTTTGTAGTACTGGATCCCAAGACCTAGACTACTCTTGAAGCATTCCTTCCGCATTTGGTACTTTCTTCGATTGAACAGAAGGTTCGCTCAGTGGCAGATGACAGGTTCTGCTTGTGGAGGAGAATCCAGCGATTCAGCTCAAGCTCGAACGGATCCTTTGCCCTGCAAGAGCTGACATGCAGAATCAGGCAGAAACTAAAAAACAAATCTTTTGAGTTGCTGCTTGGAATGGCCTCCAACCTACTAGCGATGGCCTCCAACCTAATGCATAATCATGCAGATACGGTCATGGTTCTTTTGGTTGTGATTCTCTGTGTGAATCGGTTGAAATGGTCCGAGCAAAATAACAACTCCAAGTGGCGTATGCACCGTTCATGATGTCGAGGCAGGGCCAAAAGGACATACCCTGGGTGTTAGAATGGCTTCCAGGCTACTGGAAAAAACGTCAAAAGGCTCCTACCAGATGGCCAAGGATGCTACTAGGGGCTCCTGGCCTTACTAGGAGCAAGGACGCTACTAGTAACAAAGGGCATCGCTACGAACGGAGCAAGGACGCTATTAGGTGGCTCCTTTATGGCCTTGAAGAGTAACAAGAAGCTAGTAGTAACAAGTGCATCGCTAGTAGTAACAAGTGCCTTACTAGTA